GTCCCAAGGATGGCTGAGCATTCCAGTGAAAGGAGGAGGTGGTGATCGAGGAAGTAAAAGTACTGGGAGATAGTCCATTTTATGGCCATACTAAGATATGTGGTGTATATGAGAGGTCCAGGGAATAAGCAATATGACAGCAGATCTTTCCAAGAATGAGAATGTTATTGGCAAGAAGGTGTAGGTAGCGATGGGAAGGGTATATTTTAGAGAAGAGTGCTGGTCCCATGAAGTAAGCACACCATAGCACCTGCTCCACTAAATCCAAAGGCTGATCAAGAGAAGGATTGCTAACAACCTCCTTCTAGTCCATAACACTATTTTGGCAGTGGGAAAAGTACAGCTTCTAGTGATTTTTCTTTAGCATTTCCAAAACCAATTCACTAATTTTTCATAATTGCTTCCTTTGAGCAGGGGGTACTGACCTAGGTTCAGCGACTTCATTTCAAACTAGAATTTAATTTTAAAAGACTTTTTGCTTGTTGGGGGGAAAAAAAACCTTTCCCTTTCCCTAAGAAAAATTAGTCAACTGTGCGCTCTGCTGGAATTCTGGTGGAGAGATTATCACAGCAAGCTGGCGGCCTGGGGGGCCGAAACAAATCATTTTTGTAAAATTGAAATTAGTCAATTTCAATTGATAGCTTTTCATTTAATTTTAAAATGTAAGTAGCTATTTTTAACAGGAAAAAAGAAAGTCTAAATTGCACTACTAATCCAATGAAATATTGCCAAGTGGATGAAAGCAGACAACTGTGAGGCATGTGGGGGACCCTTTCCAAAGCTTGCTTTTCTACCTCTCTTCTGTTCTCATTAAAGCAAGTCTCAAAGATCAAATGAACCCAGGGTACAAGCTGAAGGCAAGGGCATGAGTTGTTTACTTCATCTCTGCCAGCAGCCTGCTCACCACCAGGGTGGGATGCAGGCACACAGGTCAGAAGAATCATAATTCTATTTTCACCCACCCAGGTCTCCATCAGGAGCCACCAGGGAGCAGTAGATGACTAAGTCCCTCATCTGGCTGCTTTCACTTAGATACTTGCTTGAAAACAAGTGGGAAATCTCATAGGAAGGTGAAGAAGGAGGAGATATAATAATGGCATCAGTCATTTTTGTGGTTTCATGATTCACAAAGTGCTACACATGCATGCCTGTCTTTGATCTTGATTTTTGATGAGCAGGACACACACCTTTGGTCCCAGTGTACAGAATAGCAGTCCAACACCCAGAGATGTAAACAAGAATTTGTTCCTAATCAGATACCTTGTTCAGAACACAGGCTTTGAAGGCACCTGCCCTAGTTTGAATCCTGGCTTTATTACTTACAAGCTATGTGACCCTAGGAAGTTACTTAACTTTTCTTTGACCCATTTCCTCATCTATAAAATGGAGCTAAGAATAATAATATCCATCTCAAAGGCTGTTGTAGAAGCCAAATGATATGATGCATATCAAGTACTAGGAACCCTTTGGTACACAGTATTCGTTAAACACTACCATTACATTTGTAAAACGTTTTGTAGCTCACAAAATATATCCAGCTCAGCTATATTTATTAAGCACCAGGCACAAACACTGTGTTAAATTACGAGGATGCTAGAATAAATCACCCATAACCCCAGCCATCCCACAGGTCACAGATCAGTGTAAGGAGTAACACAGAAAAATAGACTCACTCAAGATAAAGTGATATTTTCAGTAATGAAGGCAATTAAAGGGAGGATTTAACCCAAGCTGAAAGTGTTAGAAAGGGCTTCCCGAAGAAAAATACTTTTCTAATTTTACCTTTACTAGAACCCCTTGAAGCTCTAAAGAAGATAATATTTTGTCCATTCTCCAAGTGAGCGAATCAAGGCTCATCAAAGGTCAAGGACTTTCCAAGCTCCTTCAGCTAGTGTGGCAAAGCCAGCTCTCAGTTATACTGAACTACCTCAAGGATACATTCCTTGTGAATTAAGTCATTGAGATACTAGGCTGTTCTTTTGTTTTTCTTGCCCACTGTTTTTCTTTTTTCAAAGGGAACAAAAACAGTCATTCTTTCTGCATCTCTCCTTTTTCTCTCTAAAAAATTGGGCACAGTACCAAATTATGTAAAATCCTCCATCTGCTAAGGTCACAGAATCCTAGATTGGAAGGGATAGTTGTTCGCTGGTAGGGATCTGGAGGCACAGAGATACACGTGTTGAAGCCTAGCTCTACCATCCACAAGCTCTATGACACTCTAGAAGGAACTTAACCTCACTGAGTCTGTTCTCCATTCATAAAATGGCACCACAATGGTTTTCACCTCCTGGAATTGGTATGATGATTAACAGTATTGGCATACATTATAATTATGGAGTAAACATTGGCTCCTAACTTCATCTATAGAAATGCCACTTTGTCCATCCACTTCACCCCTCTGGTCTGATCACACAAATCATATGTGTGTTCTTTTTTGAAAGCTTCCTCAGAAGGAAATTTTAGAGCTTCACATGGGAAGCGTTTTAACACTTGACTGACCTCATGACCTGGAAATCCAACTGTTCCGTACTTGGCTTAAACTTTCATTTAAAATATTTACATTCTGCTCTGAGGAAAAAATAGACAATGGCTGATCATGCTTTTTCTGGACAAGTAAATGACATCTCAACTTTCTCTCTCCCAAACTATAATCTGAGGAACTGCACTTCTGTCTTTAAAAGGTTTTTTATCTACCTCTTTCCACTGGTGATGGACAGGACTCCTTCACATCCTGAGATTGCTATGGTGATAATTCAGGTGGCTGGTCATAATATTGTGTGTGTTGTGCTCTTTATTTTCAAAGCACATTTGCATACTTACCTTGTTGATCCTAAAACAACTAAGAGAGAGGTAGGGAGGGCAGATATTAAGTCCACATTAAGGATGAGGACACTGAAATATAAGGAATAGCTTATTCCATTGCTAAGAATAGATTATGTTCCAGGTCTTTTATGCATTTTATCTTATTAAAGTTCTCATAAGGGCCTTTCTTTGGTGGGCATTATTAGCTCAGTTTGTATGAGGGGAAACTGAGACTCAGAAAGGGAGGTCACATACCTAACTTTCTCCAGATAATGAGTGGTCAAGTGATAAAGTCCAGATCAGTCTTATTGCAAAGCCAATGAGCTCTATCACTGACTTCTGAAGGTTTGCTCACTCATCAGAGACCAACATGACATTAAAATCCAGGACTCCTGATTTACCATCCAGCACACTTTTCATGAAAGCACCCATTCAGTCCTTGGGTAGGTGAGGTGCAAGAGCTAGACCCATCCATGACTACAATAGTTGTTTCCCCCACAGAACTGCTTTGCAGCTTTTTTCCCCCTTCCTATCTGTCTACCTGGTTTATGCCTATGATTTGGGGACTCTCGAGCATGCAGTCTGAGAGTAATAGTTTACAAAGTATAAATTATAATTTACATATTTTATGATTTTAATATATTTAGATAATTATATATGAGTGTAGATTTATATTATTTATATATGTATCACACATCAATATACATGTTTGAACATGTACATGCTTCCAAACCTGCCAAATTTGCTATCACAAATAAATATCTTGTCACACCAGATATGATACACACACACACACACACACACACACACAGACACACACTGAAATGTTACTCAGCCATAAGTAAGAATGAGATCTTGCCATTTATAACAATATGGTGGACCTAGAGAACATTATGTTAAGTAAAATAAGTCAGACAGAAAAAGACAAATACCATATGATTTTACTTATATGTAGATTCTAAAAACAAAATAAATGAACAAACAAACAAAAAGAGGAAACAGACATAAATACAGAGAACTAACTGGTAGTTCCCAGAGGGAAGGGAGGTGGGGAAATGGGCAAAATGGGTGAAGGAGAATAGGAAATACAGGCTTCCAGTTATGAAATGAATAAATCAGAGATGATATAGTCAATGATATTGTAATAGCGTTGTATGGTGATAGATGGTAGCTACACTTGTGATGAGCACAGCATAACCTATAGTCTTGTCAAATCAGACTTATATACCTGAAACTAACATGAAATTTTCAACTATACTTCAATTAAAAAAAAGAGGGGTTCCTGGTTGGCTCCATTGGTTAAGCGTCCAACTCTTGATTTGGGCTCAGGTTATGATATCATGGTTCTTGAGATCGAGTCCCACATCTGGTTCTGCACAGACAATGTGTGGCCTGCTTGGGATTCCCTCTCTCCCCCCTCTCTCTCTCCCCTACCCTGCCTGTGCACACTGTCTCTCAAAAATAAATAAACGTTAAAAAATGATTTGTCAAACCAAACAAACTTCTCAGGAATTCACCAGGAAAGATATTTCTTCAAACATAAAGTTAGTAAGGTTTGCAAACTTGGGAATTTCTTGGGGAAAATTTGAAACTGCCCTCCTACCACCATACCTACACTGAGAGCAACGGAGACGAAGGAAAGAGGCAGATCACTCCAGATTGGTAGGTGGTGGTGTGAACAAGCAAAGGGAGTTACATATGAGGTTTGTCTTCAGTGGTGGTAAGACAAGAAGGTTTCCACACCTGCCTGCCAGAATCTCAAAAGTTTGTATGGATGACATATCAGGGTTCAGTCACATACACCTGCCAGATGGTCTCAACAACAACTCATTCTCTCAAAGCTGCATCCTTGAAATGGCTCCCACTGTGGGAATGGTGGTCATACATTTCAAGATAGGGAAAGGGATGAGGAGCTTCTGATGATTTCCTGGGTCTGGTTCACAGATCAATGGGTGGTCACATCCCCTCAATGACCTCCCCCAACAGTATGGAGAAAAGTGAAGGAGTAGATACCAGAAGTGTCCTGTCTTTCCTTCACTGTCCAGTCTATGTGGGCCCATGTACATAGTCACATCAGAGCTATAAGGCAAGGACTTGGCTGAGGAACAGATCCCAACCATGTTCACAGCCATATCCTGGGGAGGATGTGCTATATTATTATTTGAACTGCTCCATTCATTCATTTTCCATTTCAAAAGGAGATGATGGTGAAAAGGGAGATCCAGGAGAGGAAGGGAAACATGGCAAAGTGGGACGCATGGGGCCGAAAGGTAAGTGCAATGACATGAATGACATTCTAATATTAGAATTGCGTTCCTCTTTCCAGGCCTTGACCTGGAAATTGGCAGCTTTTGGAACACTCTTTGCTCCAGAGATGAATGATATGTATTTCCGATATGAATTTACTCACCGCCAGAGAGCTCTTTTGACACTGACTGTCAATAAGTCACCATGCATTTCTCAGGCTGCCTCCTTAGGATGGGCAGGAGTGGGATAGTCCAGGAGATCTAGGGAGGAGAAGTCTCCAGAAATATCTAAGAAACCATGAGTTTTAGAAACACAGCTGGGTTCATAGCTGTGTCTCTTCTCAGAAGCCACTCCTGAGCAGCTCCTTTTGGGTGGCCTAGTGTAAGGAGGAAGATGAGAAGGAACGGAAAGAGTTGTCTGACCCATCGACTTACTCACCTTTCTCCGAGATCGGTCAGCAAATGGTGAGGTGTGGGAGGAACAGGGCAAGGAAGATGAGAATGACACAAAGGCCCTTAGGGAGTATTTCTACTCACAACTTCAAGAGCAGCCTCACCAAAATATGGTTTCCGGACTGTGGTGTGTAAGCATGTGTCTTCCAAGCACTGGACACATTCCCTGCCAACTGCTACAAGGTGGTGGCCCTAGACCACTGACTTCAAAATCTTTAGCAAGTTAGAGAGAAGAAAGACGCACAGTCTTTGAGACCTCAATTTGAGAAATGCTGACTCTTCCTATTCTATAAATATGTACAATATTCTACAATTATGTACAATCAGTTGCAAAATTATACAGCTTTATAACTGGTAAGTGTTTTTTAGGTCATCATAGAAAAAAACAAAATTGATAACAATTTTGCAGGAACTCATGATTTCGATCATATTTTTTTGGATACACACTCTGTGGAACAACCTCTCATGAGGTTTTATGATCATACATTCCCTCTCCCTCTTAAAAATGGCTAAGATAGTCAAATCTTGTTTTGAAATAAGGAAGAAACAGAATTCCCAAGTGAAGCCCAAATGGATCTAGAGAGGAAGAGAATTAGAATAAAATGCAAGATTTCTTCCACTCAGCCCCTTATTTGACCTTTAGATTAAACATCCTCTGCTATAGACCTTTCAGAAATATTGTATCAGTAAGCATTTTAATATTATTGTATCCAAGATTTTCATTCTTATCCACATTTAGTTTTAGTACGTATACTACATACTATTAAGATAGATTATAAAGCATAGGATATATGTTCCATACCACAAATAGAAGAATGTACTTTTTGGTATTTCCTCCAACTGGATAGCATGTGTTAGCCACATCTTCAAAGGGAATTCAAAACCTTAGGATATAAAGATGGCATGCTTTGCTTTTCAGGAATTAAGGGGGAGCTGGGCGATGCAGGAGACCAGGGCAACATTGGCAAGACTGGGCCCATCGGCAAGAAGGGTAAGCTGCATTTTCCTTTCCTCCAAGGGTAATTTGAGGCAAGTCAAGTGTACCCTTGATATATTCCAAAACATCCCGTATCATGAAAATGGTCCCTTTTCTTTCTTTCAAAATACAAGTTTTCTCTTTCTTCATATCTTGGCTGTTCCTTCCTTACATAAACAATGTGTCTAAAAAAATGTAATAAAGCACTTCAACAAAATTAAACAGAAATTCAGGGACAGAATCAAACATAAAGTTCTGGTAGTCTTGAGGTTCCTGGGTGGCTCAATCAGTTAAGCAGCTGACTCCTTGATTTCGGCTTAGGTTATGATCTCTGAGTTCGTGAGTTCCAGCCCTGCATCACACTCTGTACTGACAGCATGGAGCCTGCTTGGGATTCTCTCTCTGTCCCTCCCCAGCTTGCATGAATGCTCTCTAAATAAATAAATAAATAAATAAATAAATAAATAAATGAATAAATAAGTGAATAACTTAAAAAATAGTACTGGGGTGGTCTCCATATTGAACTATCTCCTGGGGTCTGCTGGTTGTAATCCTTGATACAGTTAAAATGGGTATCACGACCATGAAGCATGTTAAGTAACAGAAAACAACCATTCATAAAACTCAATGCAGCAAAGGGCAGTGGAATTTTCTTTTTTTAAAAAAAATTTTAATGTTTATTTATTTTTGAGAGAAAGAGAGAGACAGAGAGACACAGCATGAGTGGGGGAAGGGCAGAGAGAGAGGGAGACACAGAATCTGAAGCAGGCTCCAGGCTCTGAGCTCTACGCACAGAGCCCAACAAGTCTTGAACCCATGAACTGTGTGATCATGACCTGAGGCAAAGTTGGATGCTTAACCCACTGAACCATCCAGGTGTCCCTGGAATTTTCTTTCCTAAATTGAATGAAATAATAATGATTCTTCACCTGGGATTTATTAACAGGTTAGAAACTTTGAGTGTATATATTCATGCCTTTTTGTTTTCAGTCCTGTGCCCATCCTGCACAAATTCACTGCTGTCCTGTTATAAAGTAGAGGTGGCTTCCTCTTTATTATCTGAGCACTCTTCTTACTGTCTGCTCATAAAACCCACAATGATAGCAGGTTCTAACTGCTCCTGACGGTCAGCAGTTCATACTGGCATTGTTCCACTTGGTTTGAAGATACCAAACTGAATGAGAATCACAATTTTCTTGCAAGGAGCTCATAGACTATTTGGGAAGACAGGACTTGCTGAGAAAGAATCATAATACTGAATAACTAAAAGACTAGTACAGGAACCAGGTGGGAGAGTAAGGCCAGATTGACATAAAGAACTGACCTAGGTCTTGAAGAACAGTGACATGTTTATGGAAATGGAGGGAAAGACATTCGAGGGGGAGGCAAGAGATACTAGTGCCAGGGTACAGATCTGGGGAAAGTCAGTGCCCCACGTAACAGGATTCCACAGCCTGGATGTGGACCCTGCAGCCTTCCTGCCATGCGGGCCCCAGCCGCAGCTTAGTCAACCATGTTCTTGAGCGGGTGGATTGGCAGAGCCTGAGAGAGGCTGCGGCCCTCTCCATTTGTCTTGGAGGTTGGTATCTCCTCTCTCCCTGTCCTTTTCCAACTCATTCCTTTGAGAATTTTCCTTCAGCCTACATTTGAGGGCAGGGACAGAGGGTAGTGCCACTGAAAAGAAAGTGCTATGCTTATTTTTGATCCCATGGCCTGTAGGGTATGTTTGCCTAGGACTGAAATTCTCATAGCTGGGATGTTCATAGCAGCACTCTCCACAATAGCTAAAACATGGAAAGAGCCATCCATCAACAGATGAATGGATCAAGAAGATGTGGTTTATCTATACCATGGAATATACATGGCAATGAGAAACAATGAAATCTGGCCATGTGTAGCAACATGGATGGACCTTGAGGGTGTTATGCTGAGCGAAATAAGTCAGGCAGAGAAGGACAAATATCATATGTGTGCACGTATAGGAGGACTAGGAGGAACTTAACAGAGGACCAACCGGGAGAAGAAGGGCGGAAATGGTGGGGGAAAGGGAGAGAGGCAAACCATGAGAGACTCTTGAATGCTGACAAAAACTGAGGACTGATGGATGTGGGGGGGAGGAGGGATGGGCATGGAGGAGGACACTTGTGGGGATGAGCACTGAGTGTTATGTGGAAACTAATTTGACAATAAACTATTTGTAAAAATAAATAAATAAATAAATAAAGTAAAATAAAATATTCAAAAAAAAAAAAAGAAATTCTCATAGCTGGGGAAGAGCTCCATGGACTCCTCAGAGACTATGACTCTTCGCATTTTATGTATTTTGGATGGTTTCACCATGAAGCTGATGAAGCTTTGGCTTCAGAGCCCCACACTTATTTGGGTCCTTCCCAGCTCCCTGATTAGGAGCCTTTGCAACGGGTGCACATGGCCAGATGGCTTGGGGAAGTTTGAAAGTAAGGCATCTTATCCTCAACTGGTTACAATAGAATCCCTTAACATTAAAAAACAAAAACAAAAACAAAGCATTTCCCCTTTCCCAAACCTTTTTATATGTATTTTTTTTCTAATTGTCCTTCCCTATGAAATTTTAACACCACCATGGACTAAACATCTGTTATGTATTGTGTGTATATTTGTGCTTTATATATAAAAGGGAGCAAGATTTTTCACCCTCCTAGAACCGACTTTTATATCCTTGAGCTGGTATTGTCCTCATCAAGAATGCACAAGGTAACACTACTATCTCCTTTTTAAAAAAATGAAGTTTATTTACTTACTTTGAGAGAGAGAGGGAGAAGACCCAAGCAGGCTCCATACTGTCAGCACAGAGCCTCATGCAGGGCTTGAACTCACAAACCGTGAGATCATGACCTGAACTGCAACCTAAGTCCGACTTAACCGACTGAGCCACCCAGGTGTCCCTACCATCTCCCTCTGCTCCAGCTTCCTTCCCTCAGGCTTCTCTTGGTATCAGCTGCATGTGGGAGTGGACAAGAGTATCTGGGGAGCTCGCCAAGAGGAACTTGAGTGGAGGGAACATTTAGTTTGGACATCATAGCTATACTTACATAGTTCACAGGTACAATTAAGTTATTGCTAATAATTTCAGTGTAGGAATAGCTTCCGAGACTATTTCTTCCACTTACTGGGCAGATCTATCCAAAGTCATGATGACAAAGTGCAGAGATCCAGTCATCACGTGAAATGTGTGAGTTGGGGAAATGAAACAACATTTGAAATGTTCAGGGCCAGAGGAAGGCTGTGGAAAAAATTTTCAAATCCAATGGCTCCTATGTGAAAAAGGCTTTACAGAGGTGTTATCAAATTTGACAATATTCTTAATTTACATTCATCACCAATGATAAGTTGTGAAGGCGAAAGAAATTTCTTACATTGTTAATAATAAAACAAAATTCAGATTTCTGCTATAAGTCATTATAGCATTAATCCTTTAAGAATGACTATGTGAGGGGAGCCTGGGTGGTAAGCATCCGACATTGGCTCAGGTCATGATCTCACAGTTTGTGAGTTTGAGCCCCACATCGAGCTCTGTGTTGATAGCTCAGAGCCTGGAGCCTGCTTAGAAATCTGTGTCTCCCTCTGTCTCTGTCCCTCCCCTACTTGCACTCTTTCTCTCTCAAAAATGAACATTAAAATTTTTTTTTTTAAATGGCCACCTGAGTCCAAAAAAAAAGGAAAGAAAAGAAAAGAACCTCACAAAATGAAATAAATGGGACCAAATTGAATAGGTCCCATTCACCAAATTGAATGGGACTTTCAGGTCTTGATCTGGAAGAGAAGGGAACCACACTAAGGTGAGCGATGTATTCTGTTCTAATTTTCCTTTCAAGTCATTCATCAATTCATGAGCAAGGCAGCACTATGAGACCAAGAAACTCAAGCAGAAAGTTGCTCAAACTGAGTTGGTATTCAAGGCCTGCCGAAGAAAGGGGGCCCAGGACAATGGCACTCCTTTTCATTTCAAAAATCAACATTTTCAGTTAGAACTCCCGAAATTCTGAAAAACATTGAATTAAACATAAACCCATTCATGTTTCAAAAACTATTAGCAAGCTAGAAATAGAGGGTAACATATTCAATATGAAAGAAAAGATCAAAAACAGCAACAAAAACCCTTTAAAAATCATACTCAATAATGAAACCTTGAATACTTCTCTCCTGAGACTGGGAGTCCTCATCACCAGTTTTAACCAACGTAATAGCAGTGGTTCTAGCTAGAGCAAAACTGCCAGCATGAGAGATGAGAATCACAATCATTGGAAACAAAGAAATAAAAAGGTCATTATTTGCAGATGATGTGAATGCATGTCCAGAAAACACAAAAGAATCTACAGATTGGGGCACCTGGGTGGCTCAGTCGGTTAAACATCTGAGTTTGGCTCAGGTCATGACCTCGAAGCTTGTGGGTTTCAACCCCCCCATCACCTCCCTTCCCCGTCAGACTCTGTGCTTACAGCTCGGAGCCTGGAGCCTTCTTCGGATTCTGTGTCTCCCTCTTTCTTTCTCTGCCCCTGTCCTGTTAGCTTGCTCGCTTGCTCGCTCTTTCTCTCTCTCTCTCTCTGACTCAAAAATAAAATTTAAAAAATTTAAAAAAGAATCTACAGAATAACTATTTGTGTTAAGTTTATTACACGGCTTAGCCATACAAAAATCAAGTATGTTTCTACATACCAGAAACGGTTGCAAGTGAAATTTAAAAGATGCACTCATTACAGCATTAAAATTCTTAAATGTCTAAGAATAAAGCTAAAAAAGAAGGTGTCTAAGCCTTCTTCAACAAACACAACATTATGATAATGAGAGAAATTAAAGAATGTTTGAGAAAATGGAAGTAAAACTACATTCAGAGATCGAAACACTCAATATTGTTAAGATGATCAATATTGTTAAGATGACCCCAAAATTTATGTTTAGATCAATGCTATCTCCATCAACATCCCAGAAGTAGCTCACTTGGAATTTAATAAGCCAATTCAAAATTTATATGGAAA